AAGGCTCTTTCTGCTGCTAAGCAAGGTGAATATGACCGGAGAATTCGTAAACGAATGTCTGTCCTGGCCAAGAATTCCAAGAAGGTCAAATTAATGGGGGATGCGATGAAGTCTGTGCTGGTTGAGTGTTTTACTGATGGAGAGGACGAAATGCCCCAATCGATCCCCTCGGTTCCTGAGGACGATAGGGCTGGAGAGGGTCCTTCTTCTGAAGTTGCTCCAACACCTGTTCAGGATGATCATACGGATCCAATCTATCCAACTCTTCCTCCTCCACGCTCAGGAGCTCTGAAGAAATCAATTGATGAACTGGAACGTTGGATGCAAACAATTATTAATATGGTCAGTGTTGAGGGGGCTTCTCTTGAAGACTGTAAATCCATCTTGAGCCAATGTTTGGACGACATCAAGGCCAAAGGGGATGCATCCTGGACTGAGCACTGCCAGGGTGGGATCACTCTTTTGATGGCAGAATTGACAGCTTTCAGGGAGTTACAGCGCACCAATTTAGATTCTGAAGTGGAGCCGGCTCTTTCCTTGGCGATAATCTCGAGAGCGCATCACCCAGGGAATCTTCGCAAGGAACTATCTGATAAAATAGCCCGTATATCAACTTTAAGGAAGCGACACTCTAAAGCATATGCTAAAATCAAACGTGTTGCTTCTGATATCCGTGATATTGAAGAGACTATCGCTCGATTAGAGGCCGAGTTGGACCAGAAGAAAGCTCAATTGGCCCACTATGAGGATGTCAGAAAAGAGCTTGAGCATAAAAGTGGCCAAATTTATACGAAATTTTGCCGTACACTCCACGCAGCTGAGCAGACTCGTAAGGACATTGTTGCTACCCTTCCTATTGAAGCAGAACTCAGAAAGGAGATCGAGGGACAAGTCCGAGCAGCTCACCGGGAGAAACTCTCTGCCTTCAAGTCTAGGCTAAAAACCCTCAAATTAATGAAGCCTGATATTTAGCTCTTGACCTGTCCTTGATTAAGGAATTTTGTATGGTTTTCATTTTGTTTGTCATCATTTTGTATTTAGATTAACAACATTGAATGAAAACGATATCACTTTTGCTCTTTATTGTCTTTTTTTTTTGCTGCACTCTGGTTCAAGACAATAGAAAATAGTGCAAATGCTATCGAAATTCCCTTTATTTGGTTCAAGACAATAGAAAATAGTGCAAATGCTATCGAAATTCCCTTTATTATTTATTTAGAATAATTCCATCAAATTACAATCGTCAGAGGTGTAGTGTTAACATGACGAAATACAAGATAGAATTACACTATGAACGGGCAACCCCCAGCCTGATTTGGTTGGGGTTTAGGGGGCTACATGATTTACGGGAAGTATCTCTTAAGAAACTTCCCATTAATTGGCATCATGAGCCTGTCTCCTTATTGATTGATGAGGCGGTATGCTCCGTTCGAATAGACTGATTCTATTACGAAGGGCCCTTCCCATTTAGGATTGAACTTCCCTTTGGTTTTGTGTGTCATCACCATGGGTCGTCTGTTGGCCAACACTAAATCGCCTTTCTTGAAAATCCGTTCCTTAACCTTTTTATTGTAGGCTTTGGAAATACGGGCTTGATACAACTCTATCTGTTGTTGAGCTTGAAGTCGTTTGTCGTCTAAGGCTTCAAGTTCTTACAGACGTCGTTGATGCTTTTCTTCTTCTGTTAGTCTAGTTGTGATAGCGACTCTCAGAGAAGGGATCTGGATTTTCAATGGTAATACAGCCTCACAGCCGTATACCAACGAAAAAGGTGTGGCTCTTGTAGAGGTCCTTACCGTAGTGCGGTAAGCCCACAGACATTCACCAAGTCTTTCATCCCAATCGCGCCGGCTTTTAGAAACAAACTTTTTGAGAAGCTTCACTATGGTTTTGTTAAAAGCTTCTACAAGACCATTTGATGGTGGATAATATGCCGTGGATGCAACACTTTGGATTCTGAATCTGTCACAGAATCTCTAAAACCCAAAGCTGACGAATTGTGTCCCGTTGTCGTGAACTATTCGCCTCGGGACTCCAAAACGGTATATGACGTGATGTTTGATGAACTTGATTATGTTTGAAGTCTTGACTTCTTTCAACGGGATGGCCTCCGCCCACTCAGAGAAATAGTCGGTCACGGCTAGAATGAACCGGTGTCCTTTGGACGTTGGAGGGGAAATCGGTCCGACGATATCCATACCCCACATTTCGAATGGCCAAGTCACTGATGTGGGGTGTAAGTTTCCAGGTGCCTGGTGGATGAAATCCCCATGAATTTGGCACGCGTGACAACGTTTAGCATAGTCAACCGCGTCTGAAAACATCTTCGACCAATAATAGCCGATGCGTCGGAGGCGATCTCCTAACTTAGCTCCGGGCTGATGAGCTCCGCACATTCCACCGTAAGCTTCCTTGAGGGACTCTTTTGCTTCCTTTCGAGAGAGACATCGAAGCAAAACTCCATCATGCGGTTTACGATACAGGACTTGAGAGACTGTGTCGTAATAGAATCGGAGGGCCTTTCGTTTGATAGAGGCCGCTTCCTTAGGATCTTCTGGCAGAATTCCATATACGGCATAGTCGATGTACGGGAATTGCCAATCCCTGGATTCAAACTCCATAGAAGTTGTACAGACTTCTCCTGACGGTATCTCGTCTGAGTTTTCTTCTATAGGAATTTTAGAAAAGTATAGTTTCTGTCCCGCGACTGGAATCGTTGTTTCAGTCTTCGGTGGCAACGCTAATGAGGTTGCCAAGGAGGCTAGAGCATCTGCATAAGCATTCTGAGAGTTCCTCAGCAAATTGCATACCTAATAGCAGAGCGTTATACTCGGCTACGTTGTTGTTGCAGGGTTCGACTAAGGAAAATCCCCTTGGGATTACATGGCCGTTCGGAGAGATTAGCACTACTCCTACTCCCGCGGTGATCGCTCCATGAGGATTTGCTCTGGACGCACCGTCGAAGAATAACTTCCACACTTGCGTGGCTTCTTGAGTAGCGCAAGCTTCGGTGACTTCGTCAGGTAGTTCTTCATACAACTTAGATGCTCCCGATACTGGATGATCGGCTAAGAAGTTGGCCAGTGCTTGACCCTTGACCGCCTTTTGGGGCATAAACTGCATGTCGTACTGCGACAAGAGAATAGCCCATTTGGCGAGTCGGCAGTTTAGAGATGACGGTTTTGTCATCAGAACTCTCAAGGGATTCACTTTA